GCAACAACAAGTTGAAAAGCCTCTCGAGTTGTATTCATTCATTTCTTCACCCGACGTTTCCGCGTATTTGCTCATGTCCCACGACCCCCGCGGAGGGCAGGAACCCCCCCGCAGTGGCAGTCAGCTGCCAAAAAGATTGTTGGTAAGTGTTACTGAGTCAGGTCGGACTCATAGTAATCCTGATAGGACTTTTGAGGAGCAGCTGGTGGGTTTGAACTACCGACCTTGTCATTAGCTTATTGTACAGTGCCACACCAGATTATAGTGATAACCAATCAGGCTAGTAACCTCAGGGTCAGCAGTTCGAAACTACCAGCTCTTCAGCGGGAGAAAGATGAGGCTTTCTGATCCCGTAAAGATTTACAGCCTCGGAAACCCTGTACAGGGTCCCTATGGGTCGGAACCAACTCCACAGCACATAACCACCAGACCACCACACCAGATTATACAGCCGTGGAAACCCCACATGGCAATTCTGCTGTGCCCTATAGGTCGCCATGAGTGGGAATTCACCCAACAGCAGTGAGTTTGGGAATCTAGCACTGCTACTCCACCTAATGACAGCTCCTGAAATTACAGGTACTAGGCTTAAGAATTTTTCCCAAGTTTTCTATTTTAGACATGACCTTTTTGGAAGGCTTAATATGTGCCAAGTTCAGCACTATAAACTTTTAGCCAAAAGACTGGTGATTCAAACTCACCCATAGGTTACTCAGAAGACAGGCCTGGTGAGCAGCTTCTGAAAGATCACAGCCTTAACAACCCTATATGGAGTGTAACCAGGTCACTGAACAACAATTCCATGGGAACCAGACATGCTGTATAAACTTCACCAAAAACGCTATGCACACATGGCGTCACCATGAGTCAGAATCAACTCAGCAGTAACTGACAACATTATGTGCAAAGTCATGTCTTCTATAAATAAATACCCAGCTCCGATCAAAGGAGCTGTGGTGTGGCATTGTGAATTAACGCCCTGCACTGCAAAGTCACTTTGAACCAAAGGTTGGTGGTTCAATTTCACCAGCTGCTCCTCAGAAACCCTATACAGGGTCTCGATGGGTCTAAACCAACACAACAGCAATTAACAACAACAATAACAAATCACTGAAAAGCTTACCTCCTGATAAATTTCCATGAAAATGAACAGTCTCATTTACATAGTCCTTGAGACGCTGCTTTAATGTGTGAGTATATCCACATTCTCAGGTCCGACCCAGGTAATTAAGTGATTTTTGCAGCACAAAGAAATAAATGTTGAGTCACAGCTTTTCTCCCCTCAGGGAACTGGAACACATAAAAAAGTTCAAGACTGAAAGGTATTATTGAAACCTTCAGTGGAAATTTTTCATCCCTTTACTCTGTACAATATTCTTTTTATAGTAATTGCTTGTGTGCTAGAAAGAGTTCTTAACATAAAAACCAGAAAGTTGGGGTTGTAGCCTTAGCTGTCACTTAGCAACTCTGTGACCAGTGATACTATGAGGAAGGTTTCATGAGTTATTTCATTCACAGGAATAATAATTCAGCATGCCAAGCATGATGCTGTGGATATAAAGTTGGTTAAGATACAGTCCCTGCCTTTAGAAAATCAAATCTAGTAGAGGGAACATGGACGTGAAGTTAGCCATATGGTAAGCGTATGTTGTTGCTTAGTGCTTTCAAGTCGATTCCTACTCATAGCAACCTTGTATAGGGTTTCTGAGGCACTGCTGGTGGATTTGAACCGCCAACCTTGCAGTTCAAACTGATCTTGTGGTCCAGTGCTTTACGTCCAGTGCCATATCAGGTTTCCTGTATAGAGGAATGAATTTGTGTATAGTAGATGTAGAGAGGAATGAATATAGAACTTGGTACAACTAATTTCTTCAGGTGTCAAATTATTTAAACTTGATCTGAA